TGGTATGTGGATATTCATTGATAAACTGAGTGTGGGAAATTCACGATACCAGGAGGGGTAAAATAAATCCTGTTGGAGGAACAGGTCATGTGTACCGATGTGGTTGTATGACGTCTACACATTGTATTTCGGACAATCTTTTAGGGTATGTTTTGGACATTATATTTGGAAATTTAGAAGTGATTTAGGATTATGGTAAAATTTATCATAGTAAAATGATGAATGTGATAGGGTTAACATTCCAAATTTGGGCTCTTTTATAGAAGAAAATATTCCTGCAGGTTATACAAATAGTGATTAAGCGTGTTTGAGAACAACATTGTGTGAATGTGATATGAGAGTGGTATAAATTTGGAAAATGAGTCGCAATCTGAAGTTTGAATGATAAGATATAGAGGTGTGTATGATAATTTGATATACGTTTGGATAATAAGCTTTTGATATAATGATATCTTGGGATTCCGTACAACACTGCTTCTCATAGAATATTGCGGGATGGTATTGAGAGCGGGATGTTAGGTTTGTGAGTAGTGATCAGTCTATAAGATTCTGGGAGGATTTTATGACTGAGGGGCAGGGTCTGGGTAGTTAAAGTTGTTGTTCCGCTGCGAGTAGATTATGATAAACTGATTTGTTGCAATAAAGAATCATTAGAAATGCGAATGGTGTGGTTGATATGAAAATATGATGAATTTTATGTGCGTGTAATCGATTACTAGAGATTGGATCTAGTAATAAGGGGAATAATGTATAGGTACTGACTTGCGCACCCAAAACGTAGACGTACGTGAGGGGTGGGAGACAGTACATAGATCATTTGATAGTTATTATAATGCTTAATCTTATTTCTATCTATCATTTCGGAGCATAGGTAAAATAGTAAATAATGGCTATTTCTCAGAAAGTTTTAAACTATCAAGAGCAGTGAAATGAGGTTGTCCACTATCGGCATATATATTGAAATGTTAGCTATTAAAATCAGATCCAACAATAATATCAAGGGATTAGAAATCCAGGGTTTAAAAACAAAGGTGTCATTGTACACTGATGATTCATGTTTTCTTTTAACTCCACAACTTGAATCCCTCCACAGCCTCATAGAGGATCTAGATACATTTTCTAACCTCGCTAGATTACAACCGAATTATGATGAATGTACTATATTACGTATTGGATCACAAAAAAATAAAATGTTTACATTACCATGTACTTTACCAATAACATGGTCTGATGGTGATGTGGGTATACATTTTACATTTACATTTTAGTCATTTAGCAGACGCTCTTATCCAGAGCGACTTACAGGAGCAATTAGGGTTAAGTGCCTTGCTCAAGGGCACATTTACGTCATTTAGCAGACGCTCTTATCCAGAGCGACTTACCAATTGGTGCGTTCACCCTATAGCCAGTGGGATAATCACTTTACAATTTTTTTTTTTTGGGGGGGGGGGGGGGGGGGGGTAGAAGGATTACTTTATCCTATCCCAGGTATTCCTTAAAGAGGTGGGGTTTCAAATGTCTCCGGAAGGTGGTGAGTGACTCCGCTGTCCTGGCGTCGTGAGGGAGCTTGTTCCACCATTGGGGTGCCAGAGCAGCGAACAGTTTTGACTGGGCTGAGCGGGAACTATGCTTCCGCAGAGGAAGGGGAGCCAGCAGGCCAGAGGTGGATGAACGCAATGCCCTCGTTTGGGTGTAGGGACTGATCAGAGCCCGAAGATACAGAGGTGCCGTTCCCCTCACTGCTCCATAGGCAAGCACCATGGTCTTGTAGCGGATGCGAGCTTCAACTGGAAGCCAGTGGAGTGTGCGGAGGAGGGGGGTGACGTGAGAGAACTTGGGAAGGTTGAATACTCGGAATATGTATCCCAAATGAAATAAATTATCTCACTCCAATAAACAAGAATGGCCTTTTCCCTTTATTCAGATTACAACCTCTCATGTTCAGTTATTTGAAAAGGAAATCATCTCCCAAATATCATTATTTCTAAAAACAAGCATAGAAAATTGGTTGCAATTTCAATTTAATCCTCCAGAAACGACAGAACAAATATTGTGGTTAAACTCAAATATACTAATTGATAGAAAACCATTATTTTTTGAAAATATGTTTCAAAAATATATAAAAAGTATTTAGTCAGCCACCAATTGTGCAAGTTCTCCCACTTAAAAAGATTAGAGAGGCCTGTAATTTTCATCATAGGTACACGTCAACTGACGAAAAAAAAATTCCAGAAAATCACATTGTAGAATTTATTTGCAAATTATGGTGGAAAATAGGTATTTGGTTAATAACAAAAGTTTCTCAATACTTTGTTATATACCCATTGTTGGCAATGACACGGGTCAAACGTTTTCTGTAAGTCTTCACAAGGTTTTCACACACTGTTGCTGGTATTTTGGCCCATTCCTCCATGCAGATCTCATCTAGAGTGGTGATGTTTTGGGGCTGTCGCTGGGCAACACGGACTTTCAACTCCCTCCAAAGATTTTCTATGGGGTTGAGATCTGGAGACTGGCTAGGCCACTCCAGGACCTTGAAATGCTTCTTACGAAGCCACTCCTTCGTTGCCCGGGCGGTGTGTTTGGGATCATTGTCATGCTGAAAGACCCAGCCACGTTTCATCTTCAATGCCCTTGCTGATGGAAGGAGGTTTTCACTCAAAATCTCACGATACATGGCCCCATTCATTCTTTCCTTTACACGGATCAGTCGTCCTGGTCCCTTTGCAGAAAAACAGCCCCAAAGCATGATGTTTACACCCCCATGCTTCACAGTAGGTATGGTGTTCTTTGGATGCAACTCAGCATTCTTTGTCCTCCAAACACGACGAGTTGAGTTTTTACCAAAAAGTTCTATTTTGGTTTCATCTGACCATATGACATTCTCTCAATCCTCTTCTGGATCATCCAAATGCACTCTAGCAAACTTCAGACAGGCCTGGACATGTACTGGCTTAAGCAGGGGGACACGTCTGGCACTGCAGGATTTGAGTCCCTGGCGGCGTAGTGTGTTACTGATGGTAGGCTTTGTTACTTTGGTCCCAGCTCTCTGCAGGTCATTCACTAGGTCCCCCCGTGTGTTTCTGGGATTTTTGCTCACCGTTCTTGTGATCATTTTGACCCCACGGGGTGAGATCTTGCGTGGAGCCCCAGATCAAGGGAGATTATCAGTGGTCTTGTATGTCTTCCATTTCCTAATAATTGCTCCCACAGTTGATTTCTTCAAACTAAGCTGCTTACCTATTGCAGATTCAGTCTTCCCAGCCTGGTGCAGGTCTACAATTTTGTTTCTGGTGTCCTTTGACAGCTCTTTGGTCTTGGCCATAGTGGAGTTTGGAGTGTGACTGTTTGAGGTTGTGGACAGGTGTCTTTTATACTGATAACAAGTTCAAACAGGTGCCATTAATACAGGTAACGAGTGGAGGACAGAGGAGCCTCTTAAAGAAGAAGTTACAGGTCTGTGAGAGCCAGAAATCTTGCTTGTTTGTAGGTGACCAAATACTTATTTTCCACCATAATTTGCAAATAAATTCATAAAAAATCCTACAATGTGATTTTCTGGAGAAAAAAAATCTCAATTTGTCTGTCATAGTTGACGTGTACATATGATGAAAATTACAGGCCTCATCTTTTTAAGTGGGAGAACTTGCACAATTGGTGGCTGACTAAATAAATGTTTTCCCCACTGTATGTATATACTGTATTCTATACTATTCTACTGTATCTTAGTCCATGCCGCTCTGATTTCGCTCGTCCGTATATGTATACATTCTTAATTCATTCCTGACTTAGATTTGTGTGTATTGGGTATATGTTGTGAAATTGTTAGATATTACTTGTTAGATATTACTGTACTGTCGGAGCTAGAAGCACAAGCATTTTTCTACACCCACAATTTCATCTGCTAAACACGTGTATGTGACAAATAAATTTTTATTTGATTTTATAAAACCCGGAAATGAGTTACCTCTGTTTTATTCAGCCACTCCTATGTCGAAAATTATTGGAGAAAGAATACGGTTTTGGGCTAAATGCCGAAAATAAGGTCTTAGGAGATCTTTGCTCTATGAGATAATATTAGTTAGTTAACATGACCTTTTTGAATTATTTAGCCTTTGTGATTTTTTTATTTCATAACTGCATCTAAATTCACAAAAAGTGATGTTAGCTGATGAAGATTATCTCATTGAACAAAAAGTTATCCTATGCCTGTGTCCAAAAACTCCATTCATTTTCCCATAGGCTTTGTCCAACGAACCATGACGGGGTTAGTGTCTACTAAAAGACGCCATTACTATTGCTCTTTATTGGAAACGACAAGCTGTGGTTTGTCTTGGGTTAGTTGTAAAAAATCTTCGGTACAGAGCTTCCATCTTTGAGGACATGTAGAGCGGTCACTCGACTATCTTGTCAATATAATAGATAATCTTTGTCTTATGGATGGTGGACTGGCTGCACTACAATATTTGTGGGTTAGTTTGGCTTCAATTGATTAATTTAGTTAAATACGCATTAAATGTTTCTGTATGATGAGCTCGTGATTTGGGGAGATTATCCCTTGCTTTTCTAACGATTTCTTGTGCCGATTGGTTGTTTGCAAGCTAACTAGCACATTTGCCTTGTTTACATTGCTAACGTTAGCTAGCTAACCATTTTCGAGCCCTGGATACAGTGCAGTGGTTGAGGTTTCGGATTGAATTTGAGTTGGTATCGTAGCTAGGACATATTGGCATTGCACACTCATTTTGTATTTGATAAATAATAATGCTTCAATATCTGTATCTTTACTAGGGGTGTCTAGCTAATTCGTAATTGTTGTGGACTGTATCGAGTAACAGTACTTAGTTAGCTAGCAAGCCAGTTTACGTTAGCTTTACAGTGCGAGGTAAACATTGCAATGTTTTTCATTCTTGGTTTTAATATAGGCCTAACTTACAGATTCTGGTAAATAACGTTATAGGTTAAACTGTAGCGGACAGAATCGCCTCTGCTGTACTTTTTTTTTTTTTTTTTAAGGCATAGAGCAGCAAACCGAGATGAAGGGGTAAGTGGCACAAAAAGCTTTCGTTAATGGACAACCTTCTGTTTTGTGTTAGCTACTTGCTGACTGTTGCCGCCTTCTCCCCTTTACCACAGGCAGCAGAAGAGCCCGGATGACGACGGTGACGTTTCCATTATCGATGAAGGTGAGCGCCATAGAGAGTATTCTATGATTTATCATAATGGTGAGAACTAACTACTTTTCTTATATACTGAACAAAAATATAAACTCAACAATTTCATAGATTTTTACTGAGTTACAATTCATATGAGGAAATCCGTCAATTGAAATAAATGCATTAGGCACTAATCTATGGATTTCACATTACTGGGAATACAGATATACATCTGTTGTTCACCCAATACCTTTAAAAAAAAAATGGGCCTCACAATGGGCCTCAGGATCTCATCATGGTATTTTTGTGCATTCAAATTGCCATAGATAAAATGCAATTGTGTTCGTTGTCCGTAGCTTACAGTATGCCTGCTCATACCATAACCCCACCGCCATCATGGGCCACTCTCACAACGTTGACATCAGCAAACCGCTTGCCCACACTATCCATACACGTGGTCTGCGGTTGTGAGGCCGGTTCGACGTACTGCCAAATTCTCTAAAACGACAGAGGCGGCTTATGGTAGAGATGAACATTAAATTATCTGGAAACCACTCTGGTGGACATTCCTGTAGTCAACATGCCAATTGCACACTCCCTCAAAACTTGAGACATCTGTGGCATTGTGTTGTGTGACAAAACTGGACATTTTAGAGTGGACTTTTATTTTCCCCAGCACCTGTGCAATGATCATGCTGTTTAGTCAGCTTCTTGATATGCCACACCTGTCAGGTGGATGGATTATCTTTGCGAAGGAGAAATGCTCACTAACAGGGATGTAAATAAATTTGAGAGAAATAAGATTTTTTTGCATATGGAACATTTCTGAGATATTTTATTTCAAGTCATAAAACATGGGACCAACACTTTACATGTTGTGTTTATATTATTTGTTCAGTGTAAAATTATATTTAAAAAATAGTCCTTTGCATTGCTTCACTGAATGGTCAATGTGATGTGTGTTCACTGAAATGATTCAGGCTGTGATCTATGCAAGTACACATGTTGTCATAGCCATGGGCCTAGGCTCCTTAGCAGTGTTTCCCAAAAAACGGGGTGGTGGGGTTGGAAAGTAATAAAGGGAAATATATTTTTTTAAAGGATATGTGTGTGTGTGTGTATATATGTATGTTTGTGTGTATATGTAAAACATATGGGGGATTGGAAGTAATGCAGACAATTACATTGATGGAAGTTAAAATCTATCTGCAATATTAAAGCTGATCTACCCACCCCACCCCCCCATAAAAAAAAAACACGTGGGTCCCGAGGACTGAGTATGAGAAATGCTGCCCTATAGACTCTCAATTCTGTATTCTTGCTTTCAATCTGTTCCCATTTACGACAGTCTGTGTTCGTATCTGTGGCTCCTTTTTGTTGCTTTGAGTAATAATATTTTTATTGTACTGGGGCAAGAGCCCTAGAGCAAGAGACCTCTTGTTCTACCAAGTTGTCTCTCATACATCCTGCTAATGTTAACAATGTAAGAACTGGTTAATCTGTTTTACTACTATACTCTCCTGTCTCGCCTTCAGGCGCTGTTGCCACGGCCGACGACCCAACTGCCATCACCACCATCCAGTCTGCAGCTACCTTCTTGTCTGATCAGCCAATCAAGTACCTGTTCAAGACAGAGGGAGGCGGGTTGCCGGTAGGGGAGTTGTACCCTCCCTCAGGGCAGGTAGAAGGGACTCTGCATGCAACACGCACTCAAACTGCCAGTCCCAATTTTCTCCCTTCCCCATGGCCCTAACCCTTCGATGTTTGCAGATCCGTAAGGTTGAAGGATCAGATTCTGTACTAGTGATCCTTTTACTGACCTTTGACCCCCCCCCCCGTTCAGGTGACGTACCGGGTGATCCAGGTGTCTGATGGACAGGTGGATGGACAGACAGACGGAGCCTCTGCTGTCAGCGTGGTGACAGGCTTCCCCGCAACGACACAGGCTGTCACACAGGTACAACACTTGGATGGTGTTGAGACACACACAAAATTCACAAGTTTGCTTTGTCTCACATATATCATCCCCTTTGGCTGGAGTGCATCTCTTGACAAAGCTTCATCCATCACTTCCTTTCCCCACACACTTTATTGTGCATACTACCAGCTGTCCATTCAGATTACTTGTTGGATCTGTTCCTATCTAAAAGATCTGTCATGTGTTGTCTGTCAGGCGGTGTTTTCCCAGTCTGAGGGACTGGAGGGGGAAGCCTCAGAGACTCACTACTACTACCCTGTCACTGACGCCACACAGACTACCATGGTGGAGACCGTACAAGCTCCAGAAACACTGCTCACTCAGAGCACACCCACCGGTCAGTTGAAATGATAATAGTAATTCAAACGTCCCAATTAGCCCCCTGCCCCATCCTATGGGCTCGAACTCTTCAATGTTGGCATATCTGTAAGATGTAAGCGAGATAGCACTTTTCTGGTTATACCTATCAGGAGACTTCAGATCTGCAAAAACCGAAGGGTTAGGTCCAAGGCCAAGGTGGTGGGAGCGAATTGGGGCCAGCTGAAGTAGTCAGTCAATCTGTACATTGTCTGTCTGCTTAATAGTGCCCTGTGTCTTCCAGGTCAGCTGTATGTGATGATGTCACCGCAGGACGTGTTGGGCGGAGCAAACCAGAGGTCCATAGCACCCTGCACAAGGATATCTAACACATCACATCCTCTCTGTGTCCAGGTTATGATATGACATCACCCATCACTGACTAGGCCTTCATCAAGGGACCTGGGTCATCAAGGGACCTGGGGTTATCCAATAAGAAACGCTCATTTTGTTTTCTGTTGCAAAACGTTTCAAAAGGTTTTCTGTTGCGAGACCTAATGCACATGACCCTAGTTAAAATAACACATGACACTGCCAATAGTCTTAAGTATTTTGATACCTGGTGAATGGTGATAGGTCAACATGTTGTGCATTGGGCTACTGTTTGAATCCTCTTTTTCTATTCTACAGCAAGTCAGAACCTCCTCGTACGTCTAGAGATGACAAGAGACGAGCCCAACACAATGAAGGTACTCGAATATACAGCAGTACTGTGTGACCTTGAAAATGTTCAAAGATATTGATCTGTGAAGCCTGTTATATTTGTTCACATTTATTTTTAACAACCTTTTTAATCTGTCCCCAGTTGAGCGCCGACGCAGAGATAAGATAAACAACTGGATCGTCCAGCTGTCCAAAACCATCCCAGACTGCACCCTGGATGCTACGAAGAATGGGCAGGTGAGTTCCCAGGTACTCAAGTCAAGTCTTCATATTTTATTCAACTGGTATATCTTTTCACATGGACACGTTTCTGAGATTCTCTTTCTAGTCTTTCTTCTTCTTTCTTGATTATTCCCACAGCACCCCCCTTCTCCCCCCCCAAAACTTTGCTGATAACTGCTTTTTAGAAAAAAATAAAAATAAACGTTGTATGACTATGATGTGGTTTTCTCACCTAGCTACCTAAGATGAATGCACTCACATAGTATTTACAGTATGTTGCCTGTAAACAAATTAAAATGTGGGAAATGTTTATATGACCCCCTTTCAAACAGGCCCATTTTTACCACATCCTTGCCAGCATAAGCCTTTTGTACCTCCCACACGCATGCCGGTGAGTAGGGGTGTGTAGATGTGGGTGGGTGTCTATTTTCATAAATCTATTGAATATACACCATCACAAAAAAAGTCATTATTAATTTGTTTCGGCAGGTCCTAAGAAACAAGACGAATAAAATGTATTTTCAAAAGAATAGAATAACATATTATGAGTTTAATTATGCTACTGGTATGTGCAGCCTATAGGCTACATGGCTGCACCATGCAAATTAAATCAATGTTGTTTTGTACATAAAACAGACAAACGCTTGCATTCCCCTGCCATGGTCACAGTCAACACACATTTAATAGTAAGAATATAACAGAATAAAATTGAAATAATATTTTCCCCCGACATAACTTGAGTGTCACAGGAACATGTGGAACCGTTAGAAAAAGTCCCTTTTTTTTAATCCACGTTGAATATTTTTTTCCTACCATCACTCCTATTTGTTAGGGAGAAGGCGTAGGGTGTTAAATTGGGAGTATCTTCATAATACCGATTTGAAAATAATAGCAATCTATATTTTTTAATGTTCATATTATGTTAATATTTCACCACTGCAGGCTTTTAGAGTTGCCAATGTGTAATCAAACAACATAATAGGCCTACACTTGATTTAGGCTACATTATTGCAAGCTAAATGTTTCTGATCAGTGATAGATGAGCAAACGAAAAGATGAGCTTCCACGTACTTACAGTATATGCCCAGCCAGAGATCAATTAACCAAATATACAGATGGAGATTCAGTGAAACCAAATAATATTGCTTGATTATCAGACAAGTCACAGGCTTTTGGTCAGGAGTAGGCTACTAAGTGAGTGAAGAGCAAAATGGTCCACTTGTTAAGCTACATAAAAATGCTAGAAAATGTTTCTTATTAGTGCTAATGGTCAACTACACTAAAGATGATCATGAGCAGCACTCGGCTAACATTTCTCTAGCCTAATTGTAACCGAATATCCAAGCAGAGATTCAGTGAAAACAAAATACTGATATTGATTTATCAAGAAAAGTCCCCATGCTTGTCTCAAAGCAGCGTGATGGCGCAGTCCAAATCAAAACGGTGCTGAAATTATCATCTAGTTGACTACACGCGGGTATTGCTTCAAATGTATTATAACGATTCAGTAAGCAACAATTTGATACGTGCCTGTCAGTGTAGTGCGTGCCAATGCCGTTTCGGCATTACGGCTATGCAGACTGACGTTTTGTGTTTCTACTTTTCATAATGACAAGGACAAGTTTGATGTCGGACAACAAATATAGAATGTTCATGATTTAATGCGTGCTAAAGCTGGTAAGATGAAAGGGGATGTTTATACTGAGAGTTTGGCGAAACCTTTAAACACATAACCGCAATTATGACAATGTCGGTTGGCGGAAATAAAAGTGCAGGCTTTGTTGGTGGCAATGCCTTTAAGATATAAAGAAAATTCAGCAAAAAGTTGATGGCATGCTAAAGTTGGCGTGTTTTCGTCTTGGTTTGAAAGGGATATAACTAAATCGCTCTGGAAAAAGCATCTGCTAAATGACTAAACTGTCAAATGTGGTCTTTCAATTTCTGTAGAAGCTCTTTTGAGTCTAGTTTGACCATGACATAGCGTGTGTGTGGAGTGGTTGGATTGTGTTTTTGATCAGTTTCAGGGAAGTTCAGGAGAGAGAGTCTCACCTTTTCACACTATTGTGCTGAACCGTACTGTTCTGGCTCTGATATTTTCTTTTGACATGGTCCTCTCTAGCATGGCTCCAGCAACTATGGTGGGTGGATGTGTTACCAGGCTAGCACAGTACAGATCAGCTTGGCTCATTAGTGTGAAAATAGTGTCTCTGTAGCTGTGATTGTGGTAGTGGCTTCGATTCCTGGGACAACCCGTATGTAAAATGTATGCACACATGACTGTAAAACATTATGATGGCTATAAAATTAGTTGGCACCTTCAATTCTTCTTGCATATTTCCTCAGGCAAATTTGCCGAACTGCTAAACATGGAACTCAGAATATCGAGTTGCACCCCCACCTTTTGCCCTTAGAACAGCCTCAGTTCGGGGCATGGACTCTAAAAGGTGTCGAAAGCATTCCACAGGGATGCTGGCCCATGTTGACTCGAATGCGTCCCACAGTTGTCAAATTGGCAGCATGTCCTTTGGGTGGTGGACCATTCTTGATATACACGGGAAACTGTTGAGCATGAAAAACCTAGCAGCTTTGAAGTTCTTGGCACAAACCGGTGCGCCTGGTGCCTACTACCATATCCCGTTCAAAGGCACTTAAATATTTTGTATTGGCCATTCACCCTTTGAATGACACACATACACAATCCATGTGTCAATTGTATCAAAGCTTAAAAATCCTTATTTAACCTGTCTCCTCCCCTTCATCTACACTGATTTGAAGTGACATCAATAGGGGATCTTAGCTTTCACCTGGTCAGGCTGTCATGGAAAGAGCATGTTTTGTACTGTATACTCAAATCAACTTTTATTGGTCACATACACATATTTAGCTGATGTTATTGCAGGTGTAGCTAAATGCTTGTGTTCCTTGCTCCAACAGTGCAGTAGTGTCTAACAATTCACAACAATACACACACATCTAAAAGTAAAATCATGGAATTAAGAAATATATAAATATTAGGACGAGCAATGTCGGAGTGGCATTGACTAAAATACAGTAGAGTAGTATATAGTTGAAGTCAGAAGTTTACATACACCTTAGCCAAATACATTTCAACTCAGTTTTTCACAATTCCTGACATTTAATCCTAGTAAAAATTCCCTGTCTTAGGTCAGTTAGGATCACCACTTTATTTTAAGAATGTGAAATGTCAGAATAATAGTAGAGAGAATGATTTATTTCAGCTTTTATTTATTTCACATTCACAGTGGGTCAGAAGTTTACATACACTCAATTAGTATTTGGCAGCATTGTCTTTAAATTGTTTAACTTGGGTTAAACATTTTGGGTAGCCTTCCACAAGCTTCCCACAATAAGTTGGGTGAATTTTGGCCCATTCCTCCTGACAGAGCTGGTGTAACGGAGTCAGGTTTGTAGCCCTCCTTGCTCGCACACGCTTTTTCAGTTCAGCCCACAAATGTTCTATAGGATTGAGGTCAGGGCTTTGTGATGGCCACTCCAATACCTTGACTTTGTTGTCCTTAAGCCATTTATTCTGAACACATTGACCTTGTGTTCAGAATAAAGAAATAAATATACACTATGTCAGCACCACCCTCAACAGAGATCGATCATCATGAAAACAAAAGCAGATGGGTGGTGGTCCCAAGCAAGCTATGTAAATCGCTTTGGAGAAAAGCGTCTGCTAAATGGCTTTGTTATTATACTGAACAAAAATATAAACGCAACATGCAACAATTTCTAAGGATTTCACATGACTGGGACTACAGATGCCTTAAAAGGAATGGGCCTCAGGATCTCGTCACGGTATTGCTGTGCATTCAAATTGCCATCGATAAAATGCAGTTGTGTTCGTTGTCTGTAGCTTATACCTGCTCGTACCATAACTCCACCACCACCACGGGGCACTCTGTTCACAGCGTTGGCATCAGCAAACCGCTCGCCCACACAACACCATACTCGTGGTCTGCAGTCAGCATGCCAATTGAACACTCCCTCAATACTTGAGACATCTGTGGCATTGTGTTTTGCGACAACTGCACATTTTAGTGGCCATTTGTCCCCAGCACAGGTGTACCTGTGTAATGATAATGCTGTTTAATCAGCTTCTTGATATGCCACACCTGTCTGGTGGCTGGATTATCTTGGCAAAGGAGAAATGCTCACTAACAGGGATGTAAACAAATTCGTGCACAACATTTGAGAGAAAATAGCTTGTTCAGCTCATGAAATATGGGACCAACACTTTACATGTTGCGTTTTTATATTTCTGATAAGTGTAAATATTAAGGCATGATGCCAGTTCTGTGACCAGTGTGGTGTTCTCCTGTCCTGTCTGTTCCCTACAGAGTAAAGGAGGGATCCTGTCCAAGGCTTGTGACTACATCCAGGAGCTGCGTCAGAGCAACGCCAGACTGGGGGAGGACCTGGAGAATCTGGAGAGACTACGCATGGACAACCAGCTGCTCAGACAGGAGGTATTCACCATGTTCAAGGGGATCGGTCTGAGTAATGTGCGGCACAGATTTGCTAACCTTGACCACATAACGAGTTAAGTGGGATGCAGGATGACTGTAGACCAGTGATTAATCCGCAGGACCTTGCTCAGAATGATCCTCTCAAAAATGATAAAAGATCTATACGTAGCCAAAGAAACCTCGATGCTGCATTACATGACTCTTAATAGTAGGGAGCGGTGTTGGTCAAGAGCTGGTGATGTGGGTTACTATGACAACTCACAATCATACCACATTGACATTCACTTTCTCCCACTCACAGGTTGATGATTGGAAAACCAAGAACCAGATGATGAGAAGCCAGCTGAGACAGAACGGCATTGTGGGAGCAGCTGGTGTAGATCCACAGTGAGGGAGAAGGGACAAAGGTGTTGGTACGAGGGCTCTGTTTGAATTGTCAGAAAATGCACCCTCCTTTCCCCACTTGAGGTAGTAACTGGTCTGTATGTGATTGGAAAGGTGAAACGTAGGGTCCCAATGACACCAACCCAGTCATCTTATATCTGTAATTTCATCTAGGAAGGATGTATTTGGAAAGCATTCGAACAAGGCCTAGGATGTGGTTGGAATACGATGACATTGATCAGTGGAGGCTGTTGGATGCAGAGGATTGATTCCAACAAATCTGGACTGCAATCTTTTTGGATCTCCTCCGTGATGTTTTCTCTCTTGACATTTTTATGGACTCCCCATGATCATGGACATTCATCCTACCTGGAAAAACACTTAAGCTACACAACATAACACTCATGCCTGTGTTCTTATTCCCCTTGGAAATAAAAGGTATTTTGTGATCCCTCAAAACAACTTGCCCATATATGGGTATTTGTACACTCTTGCCACACATTATTTGGGAGAAAAAATGTGATGCCTTTTATGTTTGAAATAAAATATTTTAGGGAAAGGCTTATTCAAATGCTAGACTGAACCGAACACCATGTCTGTTGGTTGACTGTTTCACTACCAGCTGACTGACAATGGTGTTCTACCTCAGTTTGTATCAGTCACTGAGCAAATAATGAATTTGATGGTGCTTTGTGTATCCTTAGTTTTACTTTTGATCCCATGCCTTTCCTTTTCCAAAATTTGGACTAACCTATTTCTGACGTTAATATCACCTTCAGCCTCTAATATTATTTTGTTATAGGTTGATTTGTTGTAATTTCTATTAAATTCGTCTAAAAGAGATATCTTATGTTTATTAACAGACACTGAAAATGAAATCAACTTATGGTATTAACAATCTGTCACTATCATGAGTGGACAATGTACCTTGAATTCAGCTATGCTGATTGAGTGAGACTTATAATGTGGGTGTCTTTGCATATCCCAACTCACCCTGAGAGTGGGTTCACAGCCAGAGTCTGCCATTATCAACGCAAACCCTGGAGCAATTAGGGTTAAGTGCCTTGCTCAAGGGTACATGGACAGATTTTTCACCTTGTCAGCTCTGGGATTTGAACTAGCGACATTTGTTACCTGCCGCACTTATTACTTTCAAATCAGTCAAGTTTATTTGTCATATGCAGAATACACATGGTACACAGTAAAATGAAATACTTACTTGCAGGTGTTATGATACTGATGGTTTGTCCAGATTTATGGTTTGTACGGTTGCAGCTACCAGTACAGCTCCATCTAGTTGTCACGTCGGGGATAACAGTTGACAATTATAGAATTTCAGCTAAGCCTAACCTCCTTCTCCTAACCTGCTACGTTAATTATCCTCACCTGCCATGTTAGTTCTCCTAACCGCTATGTTAATTATCCTAACATGCTAAGCAAACAAACCACCAGTTCCGACAAACAATCAGTAACACCACAATGCGACAATAATAAGAATGGGAGTAAGTTAAAAATATATTTTTTTTCAAGCTCAATGGAATAAAATAGAATACATTTAGCAGAAATATAAATACAAGGAAGGCACTCAAACAAATGTACAGTAGGATATTTACTAGCCACAAGGTTCGTCATAGTGCCCTATAAGCTCATTACAAAGCTCACAGCCCTGGGTCTGAACTCCTCCCTATGCAACTGGGTCCTGGACTTCCTGATGGGCTGCCCCCATGTGGTGAAGGTAGGTAACATTACCTCATCGACACTGATTCTCAGCACAGGGGCCCCACAAGGGTGTGTCCTCAGTCCCCTCCTGTATTCCCTGTATACCCACGACTGCATGGCCTCACATTTCAAACTCCATCATCAAGTTCTCTGACAACACAACAGTAGTAGGCCTGATTACCGACAAGGACGAGACAGCCTAAGGTTAGGAGGTAGACACTCTGACGGCGTGGTGCCAGGTAAACAACCTCTCCCTCAACGTTAGCAAAACAAAGGAGATGATTGTGGACTTCATGAGGAACCAGGCTGGACATGCCCCATCCTCATCAACGGGGCCGCCGTGGAGACGGTCAATATCTTCAAATTCCTCTGTGTACACATCTCAGAGAAGCTGAAATGGTCTAACTACACCGACACCGTGGTGAAGGCATGAAAACTTATTGCACAATTCAACAGTCTCTTTTTTTTTTACCACATAACTATATGTCAGTATGAAAAATATACTGTAAATACTCTAAACAAGTTAAACTGCTTATTCAAATAGCCGGCTTTATACTAGGTGGATTTTATTATGCTGAGCAGTGGGCCACCGGGCAAAACGTCACATCATCGGGCGAAAGCTGGGAGGGAGGCACGCCCTTCTCAAATCGAACAGTAATATGCGCCACTCGGTCATTTTGTCAACAAGGCAGCATGGTGCATCGTCCAGAACATACAACTATTTTTCATAAAATAAACGTTTGAATTTTCTAACTAGTTTTTATTGGGAAGGCAGATAAAGCGTTTTTATCAAAAGCAATCCCTTTTGTATCAGAAAACAGAATCCCAGTGTTTACCACACTTTCTTAATTGCCTCACTTTTCTTTTGAGCAGACTTCGCTGTGGGCTTTGACTGGGGCACCTGGCTCACGCCCGGGAGGCAGCCCAGTTCCAAATCGAATGCAATCAACTTTCAGCCAATGCAAAACACGCCTACACGAGCGCCCGGTCGGCATGAATCAAACCCCCTCATGGACATACAGTACCAGTCAAAGGTTTAGACACACCTACTCATTCCAGGGTTTTCTTTATTTTTTACTATTTTCTACATTGTAGAATAATAGTGAAGACATCAAAACTATGAAAAAACACAAATGGAATCATGTAGTAACCAAACAAGTGTTAAACAAATCAAAATATATTTTATATTTGAGATTCTTCAAATTGCCACCCTTTGCCTTGATGACAGCTTTGCACACTCTTGGCATTCTCTCAACCAGCTTCATGAGGTAGTCACCTGGAATGCATTTCAAATCAAATCAAATTTTATTGGCCACATGCGCCGAATACAACAGGTGCAGACATTACAGTGAAGGCAGGTGTGCCTTCTTAAAAGTTAATTTGTAGAATGTATTTCCTCCTTAATGCATTTGAGCCAATTAGTTGTGTTGTGACAAGGTAGGGGGGATATACAGAAGATGGTATTTTACCAAATAGGTTAAATCCATATTATGGCAAGAACAGCTCAAATAAGTAAAGAGAAACGACAGTCCATCATTCCATTAAGACATGAAGGTCAGTCAATACGGACAATTCGCAAAAACCATCAAGCACTATGATGAAACTGGCTCTCATGAGGACCGTGACAGGAATGGAAGACCCAGAGTTAACTCTGCAGCAGAGGATAAGTTCATTAGAGTTACCAGCCTCAGAAATTGCAGCCCAAATAAATACTTCACAGAGTTCAAGTAACAGACACATCTCAACATCAACTGTTCAGAGGGGACTGTGTGAATCAGGCCTTCATGGTCAAATTGCTGCAGAAAAACCACTACTAAAGGACACCAATAATAAGAAGAGACCTGGTTGGGCCAAGAAACACGAGCAATAGACATTAGACCGGTGGAAATGTGTCCTTTGGTCTGGAGTCCAAATTGGAGATTTTTGGTTCCAACCGCCGTGTCTTTATGAGACACGGTGTGGTTCCCACCGTAAAATATGGAGGAGGAGGTGTTATGGTGTGGGGGTGCTTTGCTGGTGACACTGTCCCAGATTTATTTAGAATTCAAGGCACACTTAACCATGGCTACCACAGCATTCTACAGCGATACGCCATCCCATCAGGTTTTTCAACAGGACAATGACCCAACACACCTCCAGGCTGTGTAAGGGCTATTTTACCAAGAAGGACAGTGATGGAGTGCTGCATCAGATGACCTGGCCTCCACAATCCCCCGACCTCAACCCAATTGAGATGGTTTGGGATGAGTCGCACCGCAGAGTGAAGGAAAAGCAGCCAATAAGTGCTCAGCATATGTGGGAACTCCTTCAAGACTGTTGGAAAAGCATTCCAGGTGAAGCTGGTTGAGAAAATGCCAAGAATGTGCAAAGCTGTCATCAATGCAAAGGGTTGCTATTTGAAGATTCTCAAATATAAAATATACTTAGATTTGTTTAACACTTTTGCGTTTACTACATGTCATACAATAAAATGCTAATTAATTACTTAAACATCATACATTGTGATTTTCTGGACTTTTGTTTTAGATTCTGTCTCTCACAGTTGAAGTGTACCTATGATAAAAATTACAGACCTCTATATGCTTTGTAAGTAGGAAAACCTGCAAAATCAGCAGTGTATCAAATACTTGTTCTCCCCACTGTATATATTTTTAGTCATTTAGCAGACGCTCTTATCCAGAGCGACTTACAGTTAGTGAGTGCATACATTTTCATACTGGCCCCCCGTGGGAAACAAACCCACAACCCTGGCCCTGCAAGCGCCATGCTCTACCAACTGAGCTGCACGGGGCCTGCAAGCAAGGAGGAGTTCCATCCTCCCAGGTTGATGGTCTGGTGTAGGATCGTTTAGGGCCAAGTAGTGGGATGGGGTGGTGGGTTTTAGGGGATAGCGTATAGGTGCAGGGTTACATGGTGGTGCAAAATAAGTTTTTCCCATTCCCCTTGTCTCTTTATTTTTTGTTTTTGTTTTGTCACAATGTGGAATGCACATTCCGAATTGAGAAAGGCAGCATTACGCCAAAAAGTGTCTAGTCTGCCGGAAATTCACAAGAACAAGAAGACATACATCACATAGACTAGGTAATAGAGAGAAATAGTAATGGGGTCTTCACACCAGATTTGCAGAATGGCTCAAGATGCTATCGCAGTGTTTACCAAGAGAGACCTGAAGATTTTCCGCCGCGACCGGAGTAGAACAGAGTTGAATTTGGGGGTCATTTTTCTGTGTGTGGCCACTGCTCATGCTCTCAAAATGTTGGCACCCAGAGAAGACACATTTCCGAGGTGAGCAGGACGATTATGAGAGGAATATTGGGACAGGGACACAGAAAGGTGGATTTCTGAGGAGGAATGGAGGGGGAAAAAGAGGAAGAAGAGGTCAAAGAGAATGAAGAAAGCAGAGGTTGGATTTGAATTTGAGAAAGATGTCGATAAAAATGGAGATGGGGTGCAAACAGAGTGAGCTGTGTGCCAGACTGAGTTCTGGAGGTGAAATGGAAGTGAATGAGGGCGAGTTAAGTGAGGTGGAAGGTGTGGTGAAGAGCTGAAACCCAAGCCTGGCATCAATGGACATGATAAAGAAGAATCTGGTCCAGTAGGAGTGACATTTTTGGAGAAAATGGATCCTTGCCTTTTGGCGGATCCATTTGTGGTTTCATTGTGGGTGGGAAAGGAGTTGGGTGCAGTTGAATCAGTGAAGGTACCCTGTAGTGGACTTGTGATATTTGTTTGTGTTTCTTCTGACCAGAGGGAGCGGCCGCGCCGTGTCAAGCAACTTGGGTCAAAATCTGTTTCTGGCTTTGCTCTTAGGAACAGGGCGCCATTGAAAGGAGTGATTTCTGGGGAAGCGTTAAGTGTGGAGGTGGAGCAAATGAAGTTGAAGATTCCTGGTGTTTGTGATGCAGATCCATTAGTGAGCATGGGGAAACTGAGGAGTCACTGTCAGTCGCTTTGAGTTTTGACTCAAGAGTCTTTACCCGACAAAGTCATTTTAGGATATATCAGTTATCCTGCTAGAGCTTTTGTGCCGAATCCACTGCACTGATTCTGGTGCAACGGTCATGTCCCAGTAGTTTGTAGGAGGGAGATTCCAACATGTGGGAAGTGTGCAGGAGACCATGGGATAGAGCAGGGGTGGGCAAACCTTTTGGCTCA